TGCAATGGTGTTTCTGCGGTCATGACCTCGGTGACGGGGGATTCGTAATCACCAGAAAAAGCAGCCAAACCGTATGAGCAATGGCAAGACCAGCAACCACAATAAGACGAGCAAGAGTATCCGTAGGAGGCCAAGGACGACCAGGATGGCGCAAAGCGATAGCTCCAACTCCGTAAGTTTTATAGTCTGACAAGAGCACTACAACTCATTGGAGGCATAAGGCTGATTCTGGCTATGTCCAAGAACCCTCAGCTATTGCGCTGCACATCCTAGGAGAGGGCTTCCACCGTGTAGCAGAGGTCGAGGCCGTCCTCCTACATTTATCAAACCCTGCGCGCGACCACCATTTACGACTAAAGTATCAGAGAGGACATATGTGACAACTGATGATGATGATGAAAACCTGCCTCACCATAAATTGAAGAGGCAAAGCACAATGATCGTTGATAGATAGATAGATCGATAGATAGATAAATAAATAAATAGATAGATAGATAGGTAGATAGATAAATAGATAGATAGATAGATAGGTAGATAGATAGATAGATAGACAAATATATATATATATATATATATATCGTCACAAATAGAACTGTCCGGTAAACCGTAGGCAGAGAGAGAGAAGAGGACAATAAACGAGGGGCTGTGACAAACTGTTTCGTCGGAGTTATACATATATATATATAAAAATTATTATAAAAATATGAAAAAAAATGTATGTTATGTATAATAATAATACAAAAAAACTTTTGCCTAGGAGGCATGTTCAAATTTATAGCCAAACTCCCAAACCATAGTTGCGGCGCACCTCGGTGCGCGGATTTGCGCACGAATTGCGCACCGCACAGTGCATCGAAGCGCAGCGCACTGGAAAATTTTGGTTCACCAAAAAAAAAGAAAAAAAGTAGGTGTTTCGTAATTTTTTAGGGCCCCCAACTCAGCAAAAATGTTAAACTCACCGCGCGAGATCAGATACTGGCCACGCTGCAAACTCGAAATTTTCTTTTGGGTAAGGGCTGCCAAATTTCGATTTTCGCAGGCCCTTCCCCCAAAAGTTTCAGAATGGCGAAGCATAAAATACTTCAAAAATAGGGCTCATTCCATCTTTTGTTTTAGGCGGGGTATGAAAGATATTCTTCTCGCTTCCTTCTGCAGATCCCACACAGTGGTGGGGTAAGTTCGCAAAAAGGGGCACTCGCCTCATAACGACCTGCCCTGCGAATCTTCGCAGAGATCAAAAGTTACATTTTCTAGGGTCAGCCGACCACCAATATATGCTGAAGATTGGCATTAAGGGTTGCATGTCGGCAGTTATGGGTTAGGATGAAGACGCCCGTGACTCTCTCGTTTTCTTGTTTTTGTTTTCTTACGAATACGTCCAGTGGCGCCTGCTCCACTACTCACCAAATGCACAAAAGACATAGCATATGGCGGTGTATGGTTCCATGTTTTAACAGAAGATTCATTCTACTAATATTATATACATTTGGTGAGTGCTGGAGGGAGGCCCTGAGAATCACGTGGAGACACGAACAGGGTCTAGATGAACTGGTGACCCATAACTGCCGAGCTACAACCCTGAACTCGAATCACAACATATATTGGTGGTTGCCCCCATGCCTTTCGTGCATGACGAGGCCATCCTTCTCAGTAAAGCAACGGCCCTCAATAGCTCCCTATGCGTTGCAGAAGCCATTCGTCGTACCTGCATGGGCTCTCGAAGTGACATAAAGGAGATCAGTTTTTTTTTTTTTTTTTTTTTTT